CAGACATTCGTGCACATGCACTCACTCCAATGTAATTTCACGGTACTTAGTACACTGACATTAAATAACAAAAATGTTTTTTTTCTACATTGTTCGAGACTCCTTAGAAATCTCAAATATATGTGATACCCTTACAAAAAATTGCACAGCAAACAAAGCATTTTCAATTAATGTAACATTATTATATTCAGGTGTCTTGTATGGTAGTGACAATTTATGTTTTCTACCACTTTGAGCATTAGTATATATTGTATGTTTTAGATGAATCAATGATTCCTCATCACTGCTGTTCATTTAAACCTCTCACTAGCAGACACATCAAACCCATACACATGTTCTTTTACAATAATTATTAAAATAACATTTGCATGAAACCAAATTCAATCACGATTTCTTGAATACATTCTGTTATGGATAACAGAAATGTTTCACTTATGAATTGGAACTCAGGTCACTTTTACATAATAAACTTTCTAATAACCATTCATACAAAGTCAAAATGTCAAAATTAACAACAACAAAATATATTTCTTCAGATCAAATTTCTTCAACCATATTTCCACTACAGATTCCATCCAATAGTTGAATGGAATTAGGATGTTCTGAAGATCAATAGTTATGTAAGATTTCTCAGCTTATGCATCATAAGCACAGATTCTCATTTAAACTTTCCTACATGAATTGTATAAAATTAAATTAATCATTGTACTAATTCAATTCTACACATAATAATGCAGCAATTCACATGAATACTTCTCTTGAATGGAAAGGAGTATGATTTTTTCCACAACAGGAAATTGAATACTCCACTCAAATAAAGTTCTGTAATTTGATATAACTGCAAAAATGTTAACAACAATACACAGAAACTACAAAATCTTCTGAAAACATTAGGATTTTTCTTGCTATCCGTGAGGCCATAACTAATCTAGCCACCTATAACTTCTTTACTACAATTAGTGAAGCACGTTACTTTTCTCTCTTCGAGATTATAAGATAAGAAATTTTTTAGACATAATTCACATAAATGTGGAAGTAAGTGAGCAATAACTTACTAATCAACACCTTAAATGAAAAGGAAATTATAAATTATAAAGTTAAGAAATTTTAAACCATAAAAGCAGTTAATAAAAAGAATAATTTTGAACATATATTTCATCATTCAATTTGGGAATGAATAAAAAATGACTTGTGTAACCCAATATTTTGGTTTTCTGAGGTTGTCAACTGTAGGCGATACCTGGAATCCTGATGCAAAAAATTTAAAAATTAAATTATGCCTAAATAACTAGAATTTGGGTAATACACAGTATAACAACAGTCTGTAGTGATCGTTAATGAACTTCTTTACCTATGTGGGTTCCTTATTGTGGCTACATACACTTATTTATTTAAAGCAGTTTTCTTCAAAATATATATTAGTATGCATATATTTCCTGCTTATTGTAAAGGCAAGTTCCAAAAGAAGAAATTCATAATTTTAGAACTGACAATGACATAAAGGGCCAACAGATTTCATAATCTAATCTGGTTCAAAATTTATTTATAAAATAGTTACAGAATGTGTCTAATAATATTTACAAAATACAATTAATACTAATATTAAAAAAATATCCCAATAACTTGCTATTATATACTGATCAGTACTACTGCCCTCTGTAGGGCTGCTCAGTCTGCTGCTAATAGAAGAAAGCTAAAAACATTGGAAAGATATTTGTGTTTAAAATGTCAAATATTACCAATTGCTTTCGTAAAGAAATAAATTATTTTTGTTGCATAGGTACAAATGTTCATTTTTTGTACACCTAATGCTGACAATTCTTTTATAGCCTATTGACTTTGAATAAATAGAATTCGAAAAAATGTTGAAATGGAAATCATGCAATAATAAAAGAACAAGTAATGAATTCACCAACAATAACGAATGGTTTTCCCCACCAACTTACAAATATCCATGTCAGGACAAGCCCTGTATCACCTGTAGGTGTAGGTGACACATAAAAGTTTCATGAAAAAACTACTACATCATAAAATAAAAATTTAATACTGTGGTAATATGTACACCTCATATTTTGAAATTTAAATTATACCATAATATGATTGTTTGAATTTTGTATCTTTAATTAGTATTGAAATTAGACTAAAAACATGGAAAAACACACATGGAGGTGTAAAATTTTCATCCTTCCAACTTTTCCCTTTACGCCAAAGAAAAAAAATTGTGTACATTTTGTATAATTTTTTTAAAATTCCAAGGTTTTAAGGAAAATAACACTTTTGTGTGTAATGAGAAAGTGTGGAGCATTTTGAGAGAATACTGAAAATGTCTTAGATGCTTCATTTAAGTATTACACAATAGTAAAATATTTCTTTCAAATTCACAGGGCCTCATGAACCACATTGATCTCGCTTAGTTTGCTGAATAATAATATAAAAAGTTCAGTTCAGTCCCACATTTCCACATGTTTCATCCAAACAAATATAAATTTTTGGTAGATAAAATCTAGTTTTTTCTTCTTTTTTTTTACCTCTTTCTTTCTCAATTATTTACATATCATGGATTATTACATATCATGGTCCTGACACTCGGTATTCCACCAAAGATGGACAAATTGACATATAATGAAGATCTAGATGATACAAAAACGCTACAAGACATTCGGTCACTGGGTAAAACATCACATCGGCATATTCATCCCAAGCACTTCAAAACTTATCATTGAAAATAACTCATATTATACACTATACATATTATACATGTGTTATACCATATAACATATATATATATATATATATATATATATATATATATATATATATATATATATATATATATATATTTATTTCTCTTTTAATATTGCTGTCCTATGTTCTCAGTCAATGTTTTTATTAAAATAATGTATACCCTTCCCAGTATGTTACAATGTCTTCTTTTTCTATAACTTGCCATTTTTCCCTTATTATATGTTAGAGTTTTCAATTTTCTTCTTCCTGGAAAATATGAACTTTTAGTTTTGGCATTAATTTCTCTTTTATTTTCCTGCTTGTTTCTTTCTGTTTTACTATTGAGTTTGGTAATGATCTGAGCCCATTTCACTACCTTTAAATATTATTATGTCTTTCACTAAGATTCACAATTTTCAATTAACAATAATATAATCAATATTTGATTTTGAATTGCATCTTTAGTATGTATCTTTGCTTTTATCTTTGTGTTTAAATATGTAATTGTTACTCATAAGTAATTGGAAAAGTCGGCCATTGGTAGCTGAACTGTTTAACCATGCACCATGAAGTCATGGAGATTAAGCTGCTTGAAATTCTGAGGGTCCTTGGTTGAGTGACCATCAGGAACCCCAGGTACAAATGGCGCAGAGCCCCTAGTCAATAGAGGTAAAAGGCAATGGCATTATGACAAAACGACTCCATTCAACGAAAATTACTTCACGTTTAATGACTTATGACTACATTTAAGGAGAATTACTCTGTGTTCAATGCCAAATGAAGGCTTGGAACATTGTTACAAGAGTAATGGGATTCAAAACGTATTTGCCTTCCTTCATTTCCTTTTGTGTGTGGGCTTTGCTTTCCTTTCCTTTCCTTTGCAGCCATATATTTCTTCTTTTCCTACTCTTGTGTTAAAATTTTCTGCTATTAATAAAAGGTCATTTCCTTTTAATGTATCAGCTTAAGAATAATGTAGAAGCTGGCTGTAAGAAATTTGTTTCCTCTGGGTTGTCTTCTACTGGAGCAGATCATCGTAGGCTTGGTGCAAGAACGCCAATATCAGATTTTGGTGATTTTTGGTTTGTATAGCCAAGTGTGTACTTTAAAGCCCCTTCTTTCAGTGCAAGAAAAGCCAAAGTCAAAAATCAATCTTACCTCTTGATTTCATCAATCTTTACTTTTGCCTGCGATTGCTTTGTCATTTCAATGATATAAGAAAGACACCCATTCTGTAATACTTTGAAACCCTAGTTGTTTATGTGTTGTACTGTCTCTGTTCTTTAATTCTTCATCCAATTCTTTTACTTTATTACTTATACCTATGATGTTCCAGGTCCCTATTTTGAAACATGCTTTGTGGTCCGTTTCATTCTTGTTTAGGTGGGCTTTAGATTCTAAAGAACAAGATTCCTTGCTTCTTTAGTTGGTATTGTCTTGTTTCAAATCAAAATTTAAAGGGTCTTATTTTTACTAGTTGTGGCCAGATTTGGAACCTTGAACTTATTTAGAGTTTCAAATTTTACACCCAACTTCAAGGATCTCTTGTCGCCATATCTATTTTCTATTTGTTTACAAGAAATAGCTCATTTTTTTGCAGCTATCTTATGACTTGTACTTCAGTTCTTGGTTCAATCTGAGCTATGAAAAGCCATGTATTTCTCCTATTCAGCAATTATTTTTCTTTCAGTTATTTTTTCTTTTGCTCAAATCTCCCTTAGGTTCTGTGCTGTTTTGTGTGGCATATCTCTGCTCGCTCTCCCTCTCTCTCTCTCTCTCTCTCACATCCAGTTTTTTTTCTGGCCATTCTTCTGTCTCCCGATTAATTTCAATTCTTTAATTTCTTTCAACTGGTTTTGGGTCTGGTTGTTGGTGTTTGCTCCAATGCTGCCGTGACTTCTGCTTATTTTTTTTTCTCCTTCATACACCATTTTATCCATTACTCCTATAACCTCTTTGTTTAGGTTATCTCTTTTAGTACATACAAATTACAAATTTACACAATGAATTATTGTATAATTTCCACCTTTTGAAGCCTTTTAAAATTTTGGCATACACACAATTGACATAATATTGCTTCATAATGGAATTTCTCAAAATAAACAATATTAAAACCTGCACTAACTACATGATCGAAGAGGAACAATGGGCAAAAATATTTCATTTTGAAAACAATATTTTTATTTAAATCTACTCGCAAATTGAATAAAGAATTCCTTTTTTAAAAATAACTATCGAATTACCTAATATGGCAAAACAAAAATATATGTACTTACTATCAACAGCCAATGCAGAAGGTAGAAGGTCGCCAACTAACCGCAACTCATCAAAGCGCGCCATTAACATAGGCAATCTGCCACACAAACAGAAGAATACTTCTGAGTACAAGTTTTATTAATAAACAGAAGTAGCTCAGTAGATTATCATTATGCAATTGAGAATGCAATAATATTTTCACAAGACAACTCGAGGAGTTGCTCATTCAACCAAAACATTTCATACGTCTGTATTTATTTATTGTATTCTGTCTTAACAGTGTCTTGTGGGAAAATTGGGTGAATATAGAAGAGCTTTAAGAATTTGCAATACTTGTATTTTAAAATTGAAAACATGCTAATTACAAAATTAAATACCCAATACTAAAATGGCATTATAATAGAATATGGAATAATAAAGCATCAAGTCACAAAACATTCCAAACAAAAGTTGCTGCACAACTCTCTACAGATCTTAATACAGATATATTACACAAATAAATCATGAACTTATTAGTTTGTACTTTCCAATTTTTCATGCATCTATTTAGGTTTTCATATCTTTCATTGTACATTTAGTAACTATTTCTTTACGCCAAATTATGATTTCCATTCCTTCACAAAAGCATTTAATTATTTACAATCTTTCCTTTATTCTATACAGTTTTTTCCATTACACATAAACCCATAAAACACAAATCATTAATTACTACACATAACCCAATTTGAATACGCATCACTTGGTAACAAATGAATTAAGTATTACTTTAGTAAATATAATATCCAAAGCTACTACATATATCATAATTATAATGCAATATTTATTCTTTCATTTAATATTTAAATAAATCTTACTTGATTATAAAATACTTTTAAATAATTAAAAACATTCAAAATTCCTGACAGTAAAGATGCACATTAGCAACTTTTCCCCCCTTTTGCCTGCAGAAAATTATACATTACATTTTACATGAATATTTTCAAGGTACTACTTACAATAAAGTACAATGAACTACTTACTTTGCAGGAGGAACAGTGTGCTTTTTCAATAGATCATGACGAAGTCGTTCTCCAACATGACGATATACCTCCACTAACGTGTTAAAAGCTGTATCTCGTACAGATGCCATAGGATCACTTAATAGTTTAACGATATGCGGAACCAGCCGCGAAACCGATAATGATGCTGCACCATGCCTGGAAAAAAAAAAAGGGTAACAAATTTAAAAAAGTGCTTAGAAGAAAGCATATTATAGTGTAATAATTTAATATATAATAAGAGTTTACCCAAACAATAACACAAAATAGTGTGCATCAATTACTAACATTGGTATACAAGTAAACATTATTTATTGTAAACCACCACTGTAAAAATATATTGAAATTGCTCTTAATGATCCTAGATGCCATTCACTGGTAGACAATTTAACACAATCGGCCTAAATTAGAATACAGCAGAAATAATTGGTGTGATTATTATTACTAGAAATATCAAATAGTAGAGCATTCATATGTCTTCATGAGGTATACCAATGTTGGAATTAAAAGATTACATTTGTATTCTGAATACGAAACTACTGATCCTATGTTTCATTTAGGACTATAAAAGGAAGGAAACTGAAGGGTGTATTAGCGTAACTAAATGTACAAAGAATAATTACTATCAATAATATTAATTGTTTTTAAAAATTTATAAAAATAATATCTGCTTAAGTCTATAGCAATGAATTTTGAGAATGTTAACAGATAAGTCAATGTGTTGGAGGGGTGCTTAATTCGATTAACTCTGATCAACCACAAGGTCCTTGAAGAACAAACAACTACAGAGATATTCATTACGATGACAATGAAAAGTGTGTTAAAATGAATATCATCCTACTTTTAAAAATGGAAGATTCCAGAATATATCATTCCTCCTAATTCAGAGATTCTACTTTGCAGAAGAGAATTTTGTGCCAAAAGTCAATAAAATTTATTTTCAAATTGCTTTCATTTTAAACTGAGAGATATGGACAAAAAACTATTTATTCTCATTTTAAGAGTTCTTAAATTCCATCCGTAACTAATACGGTTTTAATAAAATTCTTTTTATCTATTTTAGATCTTGCTATTTAATTCATCACTTTTTTGTGCCTAAAATTCTGAGGTCTAGTTATGAGATAATCTTGGCTAGGGTAAATTTAGTTTCCAGGCAATAAAATTAAAAAATGTGTTGAATACTTTCAATTTTGTATTTATAAATTTTATAAGGTGACCAAAAGGTTGAAGCATACAACGAGTGTGGGTAAAGTAAAGGGTTTTAAGAGCTGAAATATTCTCAAATTCAATAGCATTTCTTCTAATAAAACGTTCTATTAACCTCGTTCACTCTACATTCAATATGTACATCAAATTTGAGTTGTGGATCAAAATCACTCTAAGATCTTTATATTCCACAATAGATTCAAGGATTTGATTTTCAAGTTTATATGGAAATTTAAATTGAGTTCAGTATCCTTTTGGAGATTCACCCAATATGAAAGTATACTGCATTGATACATGTAATGCAATTACTTAACATTATAAAGCAATACATTAGTCAGATTGACACAAGATAAAATAGTCTTTCAACTCCTGCAGCTTCAATGCCAAGATATGAGAAATATTCAATGAAGAGTTACCAAGGCATAATAAAGGGAACCACTATTCTAGCTACCATAATCTACCTTTTGTAGTTACGTTCAATCCATACATAATTCGGAATGTATTGAGGGGGTTTCTCACAAGTGAAATTCAAAATATCAAAATACATTATTTTGGTAATAGGATAAAATTGTGAGCAAACCATAGCACCTACAAGACTACAAAACATCTCGTTTAATTCATTATTAACTCAAAATTTTGGGAAACATAAGAAATTCTACAAGTGTCCAGTTTTAATGGTTGAAAAATGTATTGTGCTATGTCCAATAAGAATTGCACATTGTAATTCAATTATGTTGTTCAGTATAGATCAAAATCATATACTCTATACCTTTAATATGAAAGAACTTATATGTAAAAGAATATTGTCTTATTTATGATGTGTTGTCCAACAAATGAGTACCTTTTGCTACTACCTGCCACTAGTTAAAAGTGAAGTCCCAATAAACAATAAATACATTTCAGAATTGGGAGGAAAAAAAACAGTAAGTAAAAACGAAGAAAACACTGCAGATTAATAGAGACAACAAAATCTCAATGAAGATGGCAGAAAACGTATAACAGTGAGAGTAAGAAATGAAAAAACATACTAGCAACAAATTTATTCATAAAACCAATGGTATTATAACACAAATATAAACCTATGAGAATCTATTACAGAATGAGAATATAGAAATTGATAAATTCCATTAATGTCAGTTATTTGAGTTAAACAATGAGTGAATTGCCTATTAAATTGCTTGTTCACAGAGATGATAAAGATTGATCACAATGATATAGATTTTAAAAAAAATCAGCCGAGTGTGTTGCAAGTTGCGTTTGTCACGAATATTCGGTTTTGTTCTACAGAATAAAACTACAAAATAATCTATAGCAGCTAAAAAACCTCTTTGAAGCAGGTTGTATATCATGTCAAAATTTGAGCTCAATCGGTGCAGAACTTTGAGTTTTTGAAGCATACACAAAAAAACAACAGAACATTTTTATATAGAGACAAGGAAACTACTTTTTAAAAAAAAGTGCAGAATTCCATGAAAGCTAAATGGACATTCTAATAAATGTGCTTAATTTTATGTCAGCACATTATAGTCATGAATTATTAATTATTTTACCATGATTGACACTAACAAGAAAGCGTATTGAAGATGGTTGTTTTTATCAAATGGGCAGGTATCATCAACAACCCATTTTCATTCACACATGATGTGTAATGGAACACAACTAAGATATTTTTTCCATCCCTTGTGTGTACTTTAGTTAATTGTTTAATATGCACAAAGTGAGTCAAGATATGGCTCACTTTAAAGAAAGCCATTTTACAAATAAGAATATTACTTACTCAGTCAATGTCCTTTGTAAACACTGTAAAACTTCTTCTCTTATTTTCCCATTTTTATGAGAAAATGCTGGTGTCAACCTCTCTAGAAGAGCCTGAGGTGTTAAAACTTCTCTTTCCGCAAGCCGTAAAAGCAGAAGTTGAGCTTTCTCTCGAACAACTTCTTTGTTGTCACCTGCCCACCAAAAAAAAAAACAAAAAAAACAAATATACAATTGGTCTTATCATTTATAAATAGTTTATGGTTGACAAACATTCATATTATAAATTTCTCAGACAAACATTCTGATTAATATTTTGAGGATGTAATACTTTCTATTTTCTCTACCTTTTTAAGGTTTTTTGTCTTGCCAAAGGTTGGCAGAAATTGAACCATGTTTTACTAATGTATGACAAACTAATTACAATTTATAATACCCCAAAAAGAATGTTTACTTTATCTGTCAATAATGGTAAGTAATTTTGAAATCTTATTTTACATTACATAAATCCAGAATTGGACTTGCACAACAACAAGTTGAAAAAAAAAGATTCATAAAATAATGTTTTGTTTGAAGTCTTCTTGTTTGAAAAGTGACTGAACAAAAACCAAGCAAGAAATTTAAATTACCTACTTTATTCCTAAAACAACAAGTAATAATGCTTATCATAGTAAATGGATACAGAATGCTAATTGACTCAATATTTCACATAATATGAAGAAGAGACAAAATCTTTACTATGAAACATTATTTGGAACCCACAAAGCAAATATTATATTAATCTTTGTGATCTAAAATACTCAATTTACTTTTCAACATAGTTGAAAATAAGTTTCCAGACACTAGTAAAGGAACTTACTGTTTGCAACACTGGAGAACAATTATTTTTCTGTATATCTAAATAAATTATATTAGTATTTTCCCTCTGAACGTTATGCATAAATGTTATCCCCTTACTCTTATCAAATTCTTGAGGAAAAATTCCCAATGATATGCCAATTTTCAATTAAAAAATGGAATAATTTTTAAATTGCAGAACCTCATAATGGAACAGAAACGAAAGAAATTCAATAACCTTGCACTTACCAAGTCTATCTATAATTGGTGGCAAAACAGTTGCTACATATGGCCTAAAATCTGTTCCCATGCGGTCCACAACATAGCCCATTGCTTCAATTCCAGCTTGTGAGACCTGAAGAGAAAAGAAATATAAAATCATCATTTAAAATATAATAACATCAGATTTATTTAAACAATATGAATTTTAAATATATTATAAGGGTTTATAGAAAACTAATTCATATAATATACTTTTTTAAGAAATTTTACTTAACCAAATAAGTGCCTTTAAGAAACTGAGAAAATAATTTGAATGATTAATTTTTAAATTCGACTCTCACCACATGCACTTTTTCCAAAACTATTGATTAGAAATAAAATGATTACACTCTTATTGGTAAGACTTAGTAGACACATACAACCCATTTAGTTCGCACAATTATTGATGTTAATGTCAATAATGAACTAGTTCAATAATCAAAATGACAAATGGACCCCCTCTCCAAGAAATTTCTTCCTGCAGCATTATGTAATATCCTCTTTCACTCAAGTCACATCATCATCTTTACAAAGATGAAGCTGAAGATTAAGATTAAGATTAAGATTTAAGGGTGCTCCAACAATGTAGCCAAATTGTATTGACGTAACTAGCATAAAGATTTCTCAGAAACTCTGCCCACTATCCTGAGAATAACAAACATGCAAGAACTCTCTATAGCCAAAATAGAAATAAAACAACACAGGGCAATATTGGCTGAATCACCTCTCATTTCCTAACAATAAAATCAAAAAATGTACATTACAGAGTCACCTTTAAAGGATTTTATTCAAAATGAAAAAATGGTTATTAGGCTAGGTCATCATGGGAAATGTCAATGAGAAAAACTAAAGTTAAAAAAATTAGAAAAAGTTAACCTCCAAAGCTTTTATGGGAGCCTAGGGGCTAATTCTTGTGAGTGAATAATAACTGTTGACACCAGAGTGCCAATTACCGTTACCATTACCATTATCCACATGGGACAGAGAAGTTTAAATGAAATATCTACATAATTGCATGTATTTCACAGTTTAAACGAGATTGTTCTCAAGGAGAAAAAGATTTACCCAATGTTGATTGCTTAGTGATTCTGGGCTCATCAACTTTAGCAGTGATCTGTCCCTGCTGGATAGTGGGATCCAGCATCGACCTGCCCATCAGCTAGTGTGATTATCCCAAACCAGCTATCTCCGTAGTCTGTTCGTTAGGGAACTGTTCCAGCAAAAGAAGTGTTTTCAAGAGCATAAAACAATCAGAACGTCAAATTTAAAGATTATGTGGATTAGGGTACCAGACCACTGAAATATAGTATTTGTATCCTCATCCCCCCCCCCCCAAATAAAAGTAAAATAATTTAATGATAAATTTAAAATCTGATATTTTTATATTTTTTCTTCTTTTAAAGTATTTAAGGATAAATAAATAACTTAACACTGTTTAAACATTGTTTAACATTTGTTAACAATGTTTAAACATTTTAACATTGTTTAAAGTAATAACCTCTAATACATTTTTTTTTAAATCTGATTTACATAAAAAAAATCGGATATACATCAAAAAAATCGGATATACATCAAAAAATCGGATATACATCAAAAAATCGGATATACATCAAAAAATCGGATATACATTAAAAAATCGGATATACATCAAAAAAATCGGATATACATCAAAAAATCGGATATACATAAAAAAATCGGATATACATAAAAAAATCGGATATACATAAAAAAATCGGATATACATCAAAAATCGGATATACATAAAAAAATCGGATATACATCACAAAAATTGGATTTACATAAAAAACCGGTTTTACATAAAAAATCTGATTTACATAAAAAATCTGATTTACATAAAAAATCTGATTTACATAAAAAATCTGATTTACATAAAAAACTGATATGCATAAAAAAATTGATTTACATAAATCTTATTTACATCAAAAAATCCTATTTACATAAACAAATCTTATTTACATCAAAAAATCTTATTTCGATAAAAAATTTATTTCGATAAAAAATTTATTTCGATAAAAAAATTTATTTCGATAAAAAAATTTATTTCGATAAAAAAATTTATTTCGATAAAAAATTTATTTCGATAAAAAATTTATTTCGATAAAAAAATTATTTCGATAAAAAATTTATTTCGATAAAAAATTTATTTCGATAAAAAATTTATTTCGATAAAAAATGATTTATTTAAATGAAATTTTATTTAAATGAAATTTTGATTTAAATGAAATTTTGATTTAAATGAAAATTTGATTTAAATGAAAATTTGATTTAAATAAAAAATTGATTTAAATTTAAAACTTCTAATTCTTTTTATTTTAAAAAAGCATGAATTTTCCCAGCCCTACAACGTACGCATTGTACGTTTTCACACATTTCGCCTACAAAAGACAAAACGGGTGATAAATTGCCATTCTTGTCTCTAAGCTCTAACTATAGCTTTTACATCATATCACCAGCTCGGATCGAACGATTGTGAAACTTCAATCGCATCAATTTTATTATCAGCCCGAGGCCTTCTACTTGCTCAGCAAAATGTCCGTCGGTTCTTCCACGGTGCCGGGGCTCGACCATGTACGCGTTAACTATGATTCTCCCTCGTTCCGCGACGGATGCATCCCGGCCTACTCGCCTTTGTACTGAGGATGATTGCTAGGTCACTCCCGCTTGACCTGCCGGCCGGTCGCGGCACGGCGACGAGCAGCGTGCAGTGGGTCGTAATAACATATATAGACATGTAATCATGTGTTCTGAGAAAAAAAATCGTTTAGTATCAATATTTTTAATTCCTAAGAACTTTTCGATCGCGCCGTCAGTGTTAATCTTGCAGTTGTCTGGGCGGAAAACTAAGTTCAAAGTATCCAACCCCACCAACAATTAACGTTTCCTGAAATTTCGAAGCAAATTTACAAGTCACAAGATCCAAAATCAAATGTATCAGATATATAAATACAATACAACACAAAATAAAAATAAAAGGAATCGTTCGTCTTTCGTTTTGCCATTTGTATGTTAATTTACAGGAAGGACGTCGGAATGTCATTAGTAAAATCATGAAATTTCCTCCCATTTACACACAACGAAAATCATATAAATGGCGTCATCCCCTTTACTCCAATTCATGAGCATTATCTTTTTAGATATTTATAATTGTGTTTGTATAATATTATGAGTTGAAAAGATAGCATTTAGAATATTGCATAATTATGCCACTTTTAAACTCCACATAGAAAACCATTTCTCACGCGGTATCTCCACCAAACTGCATTTCGAGAAAACAGAGTTCACCCACTATTGTATAGGTATTGCTATTTCATTAAATATTATTTCCGTAATAAATAGCCTCTTTATATATAATACGCTAAGTATAGTTGATGTTTTGGCCATTTTTAAGAAAGCATCGACACAAAATTCTGTATGTATTGAACTTCTTAGGGAATTACACCCCTACCCTGGATCTAACATATTTAAGACAAAATTTTGCAGATTATGACACACAAAACAATTTTGTAACAAAAAAATCATGCCTAACTCGGAAACGATGCTTCCTAGGCCCTTAAAACTAGGTTTTCGTTGCCATAAAGATTCACACGTTTTGAGGGGACAAATGATTCCTGTGCGTACACAAGTTTTGAGAGACCAGGTGGAGAAATGACGAGGGGCAAGACAAGACTGGGACACAAGGGAAAATAAATGGGGCAGTAGGGACCCGAATTGTTTGTGAAGCAACTTTAAACAGAGACCTTAACCTCAACGTTTAGCAATATTAAAATGGTCACACAATATCGCGTCTTAAATGCAGTAGCGCGCGGTTCAGGTATTATAGTAATGTATAAAAATTATATTCATAACATGTGACCACTACTTACTATACCCACCATTTCCAAACATACTACCTTTTTTTCTTTTTCTTTCTTCTACTTTTACTTTCTTTTACTATTTCCTTTTCCCTGCGCGTGCCTTGCTGTCTATTTCGGACCAGTGTGCAGCAGAGTGGGACGGTGGCGGGGCGGAGGGGGTGCGTAGGCCTAATATATACGATTCTCGCGGCGCCTGGAAGGCCCCCCTGCAGCGCGTGGGAGAGCCGGCGCGGCACGGCGCGGCGGGCGTGGGAGTGGCAGGGGGAAGTGGGCGGTACTGGAGCGGTCCGACAGACTCCGCCGAAGACCCATGAGCAGGAGCAAAACGAGGACGATGAAAATTAGGAGGAGGAGAAGGAAGGAAGGAAGGAAGGAAGGAAGGAACGAAGAAAGGAAGAAAGGAACGAAGGAAGAAAGAAGAAGAAGAAGAAGAAGAAGAAGAAGAAGAAGAAGAAGAAGAAGAAGAAGAAGAAGAAGAGGAGGAGAGGAGGAGGACGACGACCGACAAGAGAGGAAATGACGAGGAGAGGAGGATGACCGAGAGGGGGAAGGAGGACGAGGGGGAAAAGAAAGAGGAAATTGAGATTCAGAAATCTCCTTACTTCTCTCCGGTAACGTCCGTCGCAATACGCGAGGTCATGCCATGTATCAATGTGCACCATTCGACTCCTTCAAGGCAGATACATACCGAGTATCACAGCAGCCAGAATGAACTGGCCCTGCTAGATTTGCCTAAGTTTATAGTTTTATTCTGAGTCAGTTCGTAAACGTTTTGTAGAGTAATCTTCAAATCGACACGTATTTAATTATTCTGAAATGCAAATACATATAAAACTGTGCTAGTTTGTGAAGTGTATGAAATAGCACTACATCAATGGCGTTAAATAGACGTATGACAATACCTTTAAAAATAAAATCTCTCACATTGGATTTTATTGTTCTGGCTTTGGGTTTTTTCTCGAGTTCGTCGCTTGTACGTTTCATTTTAATTTATAAAATGTAAATTTTCATTTACCTTTCAGGTCAATGGAAAATGTGCATGCTATTTTCCCTGCAACAGGGAAGATAAGGGTTGCCAACAACGTTGATACAAAAGGGAGGACAGTCGATAAGGGAGGGAAAACATTTTTATAAACATTAAATTTAAACTAACATCAGCTCTATTTCTTTCTTCTCTCCATTTGCGATTCAAGTGAAAAGATTCGTACACAACGTGTAG